ATCCACCCACTTTCATAGCGAATCAAAACAAACAGAGTGTAGTACTAGAATTTCGACTAGAATGGGGTACGTTAATCGATTTGCTTGGGACCAATAGGTTAGCCAATTTAAAAACGTTAGTTTCTACCGGTTGGTATTACGACGATCAGCTCCAGCCGGATGGTGTTTCTGGCTGCTAACATGTTTCAGCTTGAGTATTGACCTTCCGGACATAAGTCTACAGTCAGCTGCTCTCTAGATAAATAACAGATTGAGCTCAAAAGCGAACCCCACACGTATCAATATATTGACGCGAAGGTGAATTATTGTCAATAATGAATACAGAAGTATTATCAATTTCGATGTATTGATGTCAAAAAGGGCCTATCATTGTTGATCGATTCTCTTCATCGATTGTCTCTTTCGCGAATAACCCGACTGCAAATGAATTTCCCATTGAGTGTGTTGTTTCAGGCGCAAGCTAACATCATCTTCTGTCGAACTGTGCTGCGAACTTAGCGAGAAATTCGTTTATGTTGCTGTGGTAAACTGCTGTGGTAGATGAAAAGAACCGATCAACGAGGATAGGCCCTTTTAAAATGTTAAGCGAGTATTGTCAATACGATTATTGTCAATAAATGCAATCGTGTAGTGGCCACTACCGATAAGCGCCCATTACACATATCAATATATTGACAAACATCGTATTGTCTATTTCATTACAATATTATCATTATATCAATACTGACAACATTATTGACAATACGCTAAAGTTTTCGTTACACAGGTCAATATATAGACAATAAATTGACATACTGGCAATATTATTGAAAAGGTAATATTGATGATGATGGATTGATGACGAGTATTCTTGAAAACTGATTTTCATTTCACTTTGTCAATACTCAGAATATATTGACACAACAACAGTAAATTTGGCTATCAATATCATCGATATACGAATATTGGCAACATCAATGGTAATACGTTTGAAGCCTTTTAACCTCAATGTTTTAAAGTAAATATTACTTGTCTCAATTTCCCCACACAAGAAACATGGATCTGCGAAATAAATTGTGTTTACCGTTAATGTTTGCACTCGGGTCAAAACAGAAATGTCGTTGCTGGACCTAGAAAATACTAACTATACACTGAATTCGGATCACCTAAGTCGGTCAAGTTTTGCTCGGTTTTTGAACTACTGAAAAAGTCGGTAAAATTTAAAATTATGATTACTCGTAAGAAATCAATAAAATCATAATCATTATCATTGAACGGTTTTAACTAGGGCTGTATAACCATAGAGGTAACTCTAAGACCACTGGGTACCGAAGAAAATCAGTATTATTTTTGGCTCACTCAGTACCAGAACAACGGTCCCAAGCAGTCCCAAGCTATTTCACTCACCCCTGCATGTTCTGCATGAATCCCCACACCCCTGATGTTATCTGTCAAACTTTCATAGCGAATCAAAACAAACATAGTGTAGTAATAGAATTTCAACTAGAATAGGGTACGTTAATCGTGTGCTTGGGACCAATAGGCTACTAAAGTGGTGAGCCAATTTAAAATCGTTACTTTCGTATTGATTGTTGGTATAACTTCGTAATAAATTTCAAAATTGTTCAATTTTTCACTGATTTTTAAACTTATACCGAAAAGATCCGTAGTTTAAACATTACCGAACAGCGGAAGCCTGGTTTTTTTCCTCTTTTCGGGACCTAATACTACTGCGACCAGTAAATTGATCTATTGTAGTATATCCCGTGTCATTAGTTTAGTGCATGTCGTATTACTCCATCACTATTGAGAAATGATGAAGTATTCGATTTTTTTACAGTTGCCACTCTTGCATTTATCGCAAGGATCCGACTCTAATTGAAAGTTCCCGCTATTTATACCCTTCCGAGTGTTGAAACACCCTCCAAAGGCGCGCCCCTTTGTCAGTCAAAATTGGATTCCTTAGTAACAAAATTAAGGTATGACACCGATAATTACCATGCATCAGAACCCTAGGCTTAACCACTTCAAACTAGGGAACAACGAATAGAAGATTAGGAATCACATAGATGTATATAGACAACTAACTCATTTTTTTCCTTGTTTCAAGATCATCCTCGGTAGACAAAGCCGAGTCTTGTCACTATCAACAAGGCATAAAAATAACAAGGACTAAGATGTGTTCCTTGGATTACTGAAAAATCCTGTTCCCCTAGTTTGAAGTAGTCAGGACTAGGAATCGGTGGTAGATCTTACATCCCGTAACGTACCAAGAAAAGGTGATCTACCCACGTTACGGGGCAAGGCCTGGTTTAGTGTGTACCATAGGAAATCAGTTGTCACTAAAGCCCTACAGTAAAAGTATGGACGTATGTCAACAGTCTTGGGAGGAATGGAGCAAAGTAAAATAGCGTCTAGTCCGTAAGAGCGACGACAAAAGAAGAACGAATTTTATTCAAATAACTCATGGCTAACTTAGACGTATATTATTTCTACTCTGCAGCTCTTCACGTTGCTAAATGCACCGCTTCACTCTTCCTCAACGTCGAAGAACTTCAGACCGATCATGGTACGGAACTTCTCCAGCTTAACTCTCGCCAAAGGCTTCGTGAGTATGTCTTCGAGACCGCCGGTTCCGCCAAGCTCAAGCTTCAAGTCAGCTTTTGCGTTGAGGTACCGTAAAGTCCTTTTCGCCTCGGACCAATCCGCTTCGGTAGGTTGGCTCACCTTTCGTTCCAGAATAGACATTCCCTGCATTCGTTGGCCCTTCGTTGTAGTCAGGTGATGCAACACAACATTTCCCAGTCTGATCAAGGGCGACATTGGGCACATGCGGGACCGGTGCGTGACCTCGCTTTGGAGTGAGCGATGGACCATTAAATTTATCGATTCTTCTCAATATCGTTTATAGCGTAACAAATTTCATGTTTACAGTATCAAGTGGGGGTGAGAAATTCTGCGGAGGCAACTGACAGACTCTTTAATTCCGAATGATTTCCCTTACAAGCTTACAAGACACAAGACGGTTCGGTTCATTTGATTCGTACTGCGTATTGTACAATTAGTTATGTTTTGCAACTTCTACATCTGGAGAACTTCAGTCCATTCGTCTTCGAATTAATACACTGTCAAGATATCAGTCGTGTGCGGTTGTTGTAATCCACGGATCCTTTGCTTTTTTTTTTGGATGGCTGATGGATGACCACATCCGGTCGACCCGGGATCACGATCATCATCATCATCATCGAAAAGCTGTTGCAACACTCGAGAACGTGTGTTTTAATTTCTTTCATTGATCCACCCACTCACATTCGCGGTATTGCTCTTAGTTTCATGAGTGTCTATCATCTTCTCACGAGAACGATCTAGGGGCCATAAGGAATTTATAAACAATTTATAGCATCGAGCCGCTGGTGGTGGTTGATTCTGGTTTGCTTCTAATTACCACGAGCGCAAACGAGGAATGTGTCCAAAAACAACACTCTCACCACGGTTGGCTGCAACTTAGCGTGTGTCTGGAATTGAAAACATAATTGGGGAGGCCTTCACTGTTGAAAATAGCACTGCAAATAATTGCAGTTAGAACAACACGTCTCCGCAGGGTTTTACGGACACGATGATTGATGACGATCTAGGAAGATGGAACACATGTTCGCTTGGTTCTAGAGATTAACCAGCGTCTGGCTGAAAATCTCCTTAATAAATACAACCAACCATGTTCGCTTGATCCGAATGCAGAGCAATTTCTTGTCTCCAGTGCTGCAGATCTCCGACCGTTCACGACGATGTAGACGAAACAGCTTTCGTCACTATCACGAAATGAAAATCATCTTCTAAGGATGCCAAGTCATTTTTCGGTGACAATGCTGTCCGTGACGAACATGTGCGTGATTTGTTTTAAGCTAAATTTCTAGCGCAATTCAATGGATTAAGGCTGTGTGAATTTCACTTAAATTTGACAGATGACAGCTTTTGTTCCCGGGAGACCGATGGTTGATGTTGATAGCTGCCGGTTTTGCTTACTGAGTAGGGTTTACTCTCAAGTTACTCCTAAATAAAATCATCACAATGGTCGTATCGCCTCTTAAATGAATCCTGACCCATTTAAACCTACCACCATTCAACTCCGTAGCATCTATGGGGGCGTCGGTGAGTCGCTGGCCTGACGTTAAGTAGATGTTACATCAACAATATCCTGCTTTTCAACGTAATGGAGAAAATGGGCGTGGCCGGTAATGGTGATTGTCATACTTTTCCTTTATGAAGAGCTTTGAGTGGGTTGGTTTATTTCCTTTAAATTCCATTATAATTGCTTATATTTTTACAGATACGCGTATTTCGTCTACTACTTGCAGACTTCATCAGTGCCAAGTACTCAACACCACTGGTGGTTCGACAAATTTAAAGGATGCTTTTCCTGTTCTGAACTCTGATTGGAAAGCTATTCACTCTCAAATAGTTTTCCTTGAGCAATCAGTATAATCAGATATTATACCTCAGAACGTCCTGGCGGCGCCGACTGGGATGGAACCCAGGCCTGCTGGGGTGAGAGGTAATCACGCTTACCACTGCACCACCGGCACCGCTACCGCAAAACAGTTGAAGCTTCTAGGTTGTTTTTGAAAGGGGAAAAAAGTTGTGTATGCTCATTTCACCCCATCCACCGCTACGTCAACACCTGCACTTCACATCACCTGCAACCATCCACACACTCCACCTACCACCGATCGCGTAACCCTGGCGTGGGACACTGGATATTCTCACATCATCACTTGCTGGGTGAAAATTAGAACATTACTCTCAAACAAACAACAATAGCCTGCCCATTCTTTTCGAGGTTCACGAATTGTGAATTTCTCCAAACCACGACTCACGACGCGATCGGATGACTAACGGTTGGACTATTCTCTCCTCCCCCCCTCAGGCCAACTTCGTGAATGCGTATCCGTTTTTTTTTTCAAATTTCCCCCAAGGAAGTGGTCACGTGAGTGAATCAGCTGGATCGGACACAACAATCGCACTTTATAGTCGTGTCTTTATGGCGATGATTAATTGCTTATGATGAGGTTGGCACTTAAGTAGAAAACGACCGCGCGCGACTTTTCACGGAACACATTATAACTGCTTGCGCGGGAGATGTTGATCGGTGAAAATTTGCTCGGAAACTGAAGCACCCTCGGTTTCGCACTTGGAAAACGGATGAGGAAAATTAGCACTCTCAGCGCAGACCAGACACGGAGCGCGCCATCACCTGAGTCCGTGGTTTAGGTGATATTATTCTCGCAAATGGAAAACTGTTTTGAGAATGGAGAAGAGCAAGAGAGCGTTTTTCACGTGTGTCTTACTTCCCCGAAACAAGTGGAACAACACGTTGTTGAATTTTCCAGATCTGGTGTTGCGACGGCTGGTTATTTATACGAGTAGGTAAATAACCTGTAGATGATACACTGCTTTTTTAAGAAAAGCAATTGAATAGCAATTAAGATTCCAGTTTGAGATTTGGAGATCAAATTCCGTATTTTCAATTCAAACATTACATCTATTCTACCACCCGCGAGACAAGGTGTATATCAGTGGAGTGGATCACGAATGTTGATTTCCATCGTCGATGTCTTCAAAATCCGATATCAAGGAAAATTCGAGAATGTAAGTGTGGAGGTGGGTCAGCCGCACACTACGAAGGAACGAAATCTGCAAGCAAGCGCTGCACAGTGGGAACAATACGGCTAAACTTACCGTTCATTGATTTTCTCGGAACGCACAGTGGTCCAGGATGGGAATTAAGTCTTAGTGCTTTTGTTTTAAGTTGTCCGCTTCTAAAATTATTGACATATACAGTACTGTTCGATGCCAATTTTCATACAAAATTGACAACTTTGACATGTTGTAACTTTGTTCTCTCAAGATCAATTGAGCTGAAACGTTTGCTCGATTTCTTTTTGTTGAATTTAATTATTTGTTTTCGGTTAGTTAAATATGATTCAAGACATTTCAGGAGTCCTGACTCAATTCCAATTTTTTGCAATTTAAAGAGTAGCATTGGTACGTCAATGCGGTCAAATGCCTTGCTAAAGTCTGTATAGAACCAGGGTGACTTCCACTCACTGACGTTTATTTTATTTTTATTAATTTATTTGATAAGGCTCAATCGAATTAACTTTACAGAGCCGAGAATTCCTGTTCACTATACAATTCATCTTAAAACTACAGTCAAAAGGTACAACACAATAAACACTTTATCTTCCGCTATCCAATAAGGCTCCTCCAGGGAGCAGAGCGCTTCCATTGCATCAATGGACGCAAAACGTGGTCAGCACTCACACAAATATTAACGAAACGGTTGTTTTTCAAAGTCGACGACGCATCGACCGAAATAACTGCTGATGAAGAACAATGAACCCAAGGGGTAGGTCACTCCGCACACCAATCTTGGGTCATCTTCTTTGTCAGTGTGCTGCAGATGTGCCGATTTTGCCGGTCATAGAGCAAGTTGCGATAGTTTGTAAAATATCCATCCCGGCCACCCGGTATTTCTGACACCTTGAATATTTTGGTTTGAAATCGCAAGGATAAATCGGATTGAGGAAGACGCGGGAAGTGGCGGCGGCGGGTGTTTGAAATTTTAGTGTTTTGTATTCATAGGATAATAAAAGTCCTGTGTTTTAGGGGGAGAGGTAGCTCATCGATGCTTCCGGTTCGCCTCCTAGCATCGTGCTATAAGGTACCAGGCGATAACCAGGGTAGTTGATCGATAGCTCGATGACGTCATTTCGTTGACGTCTGCAATGGGAAATTCTCATAGCAGGCGTTGACGATGGGACGTTGTCGAGTTGTTGAATAGCAACTATCGTGGTAACTATCGTGCTCTAACTTTTTAACCGTTGGGTAGAATTTAATGAAAATTTGGGTGGATTTAGTTCATAGTGCATTATTTACATCACAAACGAAGTGACAGACGACTAACTGGCGAAGAAATCCATTTAAATAATGTGGTTCACTGTAACAGAATTTTCTTGGAAGCTTGTGCCATCATCCACCAGATGGGTTAGTTTTTTTGTTTTGATTTGAACAAAGTTGATTTTGTGTACAATGATTCTTTGACAGTGTGCAAAGAGTGCGTATCATTTTATCATTTTTTAATGCATTTCAGTTTTGAGTAGAGTGAAAGAGATAGAACCAAAGCATTCTAGTACATTTGGTGAAAATGCTAGTTCAATCTAGTAGTAGTGTTGCCATGTGGTACAATCCAGTAGTAGTGGTGTTGCCATGTGGTACACTGAAAAATTGCAATAACAGGTTAGTCACCAAAGTTTTCGAGCCGCTCCGTCTGTCACTTCGTTTGTGATTTACATCCTGCAAGTTTTAAAGTCCTGTGATCAAAACTCGCGGAAATGGAGTCGAAAGAACAGCTCGTGCGTGATAAAATCTTGCGCATTCATCACGAGAACAAGGATCTATCGCATCGTTCCATCGCTAAAACGTTGGGAATCGCGAATTCCACGGTGTCGCGAGTGATTAAGCGGTTCGAGGAACGGTTGACCACCGATCGGAAGCCCAGAAGTGAAGGAAAAAGTATTCCGTACAACACCAAAAATCACAACCGCGTAGTTGGGGCCTTCAACCGAAATCCGAACGCCTCCGTTAGGGATGTGGCTAAGAAGCTGCACCTAAGCCGAAGTTTTGTCCAGAAGGCCAAAACTAAGGCTGGGCTTCGAACGTTCAAGGTACAAAAGGCCCCTAATCGCGACGAGAAGCAGAACAAGTCCGCCAAAACCCGTGCCAGGAAGTTGTACCTCAACATGCTGACGAAAGTTGAATGCTGCATCATGGACGACGAAACATATGTGAAGGCCGACTTCAAACAGATCCCCGGCAACCTGTTTTTCACGGCCAAGGATAAGTTCAGCGTTCCGGAGCATGTCCGCACTCAGAAGATGTCCAAATTTGCGAAGAAATTCCTGGTTTGGCAAGCCATCTGCACGTGCGGGAAGCGGAATGCACCTTTCGTGACCCAGGACACGATGAACGGACAGGTGTACATAAAAGAGTGCCTCCAGAAGCGGCTGCTTCCTCTCCTGAAGGCCCACAACGTCCCAACAATCTTCTGGCCGGATTTGGCCTCATGCCACTACTCCAAGGACGTGCTGAAGTGGTATGCGGACAATAAGGTCAATTTCGTGCCGAAAATGTTCAAACCTCCCAACACTCCGGAGCTCCGCCCCATCGAGAAGTACTGGGCGATTATGAAGCAGCACCTTCTTAAAGGACCTAAGGTAGTGAAGACAGTCGAGGAACTGAAGAAAGTATGGGTTTACATGCAAAAAACGGTTGATTCACAGGTTGTGCAGAATCTTATGGCCGGGGTTAAGGCCAAGGTGCGGGCATTTGCGTATGGACTGTAAATAAAATACGAGTAAAATGGTAAAATGAAGTTTAATAGTTATTTCTCAATCCCTGAAAATTTGATGGCAATCGGATGAAAACTCGAATTTTGCGAATCAATTTTGTGTGTGGCAATTTCATCGTGGACACCCTTTATAATAATATTCCGCTCACTATATCACAAGAAATTGCGAGTAGCTGAGGTGAATGGAGATAAGTTAAGCATTGGGTATAGGACCAAGTCTCCCCTGGGTGGTGCCAGAAGATGAGCGCAATAGAATCATCAAGTTGCCATAAGGCACGGAATGAGACTATTGAATGGCTGGGTAGTCAAAGTCTTCCATTCGTTAGTCATTTCAGGTGGATTAGAACAGGTTTAGGTGGGCGTTGGCCAGATTTGGATTGTTTAGATGTAATCCTGGATAGGACCCTGTCATTGAACGTCGCGTGAAAGTGGAACTTAATGAAGGCCTAAGTACTTTTTCGTAGTTTTTAGTTTTCGGATTTGAAAGATCGTCGGTTACAGTGGCCTGCTTACTGAGCAGAAAAACGCGGTCCCAGGTCCTTACATATCAAAGAGATTTATGGTAAAATCGCTTGTGTATCGTGTATTTTGCGAAACTCGTTGTTGTCGTTGGTTCCGGGTTTGAATGGATACACAAATTTGAGCAACGGTATTATGTGATATGAGGGGCTCGGTGGCCTTAGAGCAACCGTTTTTGCTTACTGAGCAGAACATCATGAGTCTAATCTCAGGCCCATCCACATTCAAGATTCGTCAATCGTTTTATTTGTTAATATGACTACATGGTAATAACAGCAACTCGGTGATTAAAAAGGTGCTCGTCTGCCTAGTGGCAAACGTTTTTGCTTACTGAGCAGAAAATCGTGGGTTTAGTCCCAACCTCCTTCGCGTTATATGATCGTTAGGACATCAATTCAGCTTATCGTTTACCAAAACGAACCCTGCTGCAAACCCAACCCTCTTATCCAACATCCCAGTGATTCCTCGTGGAAGTGCAGAGGTGTTCTCGGCTTCCATCAAAGCGAGTGTCATGTCAACACAATCCTTCCCATTCCTGATTCCTTTCTTGACCTGTGTTCGGGCGCGGCCGGCGATGGTATTGCCTAATTTAAGATCACCAGTTTTTACACATCGAGGATGATTGCTAGTCCCAAGCATCGTCTATTGGTTCTCTGTGTAATTACAGCTGATCTGGCAGTAACAGAGTAGCAACCGTGGGCGGTCAATCAAGCTCAAGCTCAAGCTCAAGCTCAAGCTAATAAAAGTCCTGTGTTTTAGGCTTAAAGGCAGACCAGAAAGCTAGCCTTTCGTGATGTGAACAGTAACATTCTATCAGCAACCGGAAAAAAATTTGGAACCGGTGGGGAACATTGTTGGAGACCGACTATAGAGGATGATGAATAGACTTCTGTAGTTTGTTTTGTGTGAGTTGCAGCATTATTTAAATGGGGGGTATTAATGGGGTCTGATTAACTGCCTCTTTCTCTTGAGCCCACTCTAGAACCTACATTTCAGGGGAAACATGTCAGAAGGGTATAACTTGAAATGTAAACAATGACTTTGAACGTCGATTTCTCTTGAATGACCACACACCTACGGAATCTGATTACACCAGCTCATAGAACAAACATTGCTCTGTCAGATGATTTAGTTAGTTTGAGTGGGTGTGTTGTCATTCGTAAGAAACCAACGATCCAAGACACTGTTTACGTTTCGAGTTAGACCTTTCTGACATGTTTCCTCTGATTTCTTATTTAGATCTTTAAGTGAACTACTGGTATGAGTATATTCAATTAGAGGATGTTCCTGAATATACAGTCAAACTGCTCGTAATGTTGTGAACAACTTCAATGACAGTTGTTCAACAGTGCTTCCATTTTCTTTACAACAATCCAATGCATACAAGATTGTGCTGAAAGTGTGCAAAAGGATCTGCCAAAGTTGTGTCGAATCTAATTTCGGCACAATGAGCTGAGTGACTTACCCTTGATAGGACCACACAATGATTGCTGCCGAGCAAACAGACAATCGCGTGATGCACATCGAGAGTGGCCTGCTTCTGTCGATAGCCGAGTGAACACTGTTCGAAAAGTTTAGGAATGCAAGAGATGATGGCTTTTCCATGATAATTACGTACGATCGATTTTTGGCCAGATTTAAAGATAGGCTCTAGCAATGAGCGTTTCAAATTTGTTGGGAAGGTTCTGGATTCCAGGGACCTATTAAAAAGCCAAAACAATAGAGCAATAACTTCCATTGCTAGACTTTTCATAAATACTAGAGGAATTTCGTCAGGTCCAGGACCTTTTGAGGCGTCTAATTTGTTTAAAGCCTGCAAAATATCCTGCACTTGAAGTTGATTCACGCCAATGTTGCTTGAACATGCTGGATGAAATGCAAAATAATCGCGGTCTTATTCAAAAAATGTCGTGTAGAATTCTGGAGAAAAATTTGCAAATAGATTACAGTTTTTCCGAGCTATCGCCGACGTTTTCGTTGCGATGCATGATTGAAAGAAGATTGTCAGATTTCAATTTGGTTTTTACGTAGCTAAAGAAGTTGTTCGTACAGGGCTTTATTTCAATTTCAGTTTTTGAATTACATTCTTCAAATGCATTACTGATGGCTTAATTCAGTTGAACGCATATGTCCAACTAGGTTGGTAAATTATCACTACTATAGTGCTTTTTTTTGTAAATTTTACGTGCTATTTGCTTTTGATTTTAAAATTTTTTATTTGTCTGTTATACCAGAATGATCATGATCGCACAATTGGTCAAAAAGACGAGCCACCAAACAGGAAGATAGATACCTTAATGAGGGGGGAGAAGAGTCCGCCCTTTATTCACGAAATATTATCAACAGGGAGTTGGCATTCCCATGTCCCCGTCTAAATAGCTTTAATCGAGTGTCCTGATGGTCCCTCCTTCCTTGCCATACAATTTTTTGCTGCAAATGTGGTCTACTTTCACCTCCTTTCGGGTGTAACACGCATTTCACGCCAAATCGAATCGAAGCTGGCAACACCCTCTCAGATGTCAATGAAATTTTCTGGATGTTCAGACTTTGACTAAATAATTAACTGATGACTTTTGGGCGAATCTATCTCTCTAATTTGGTAGTCATTATATGGAATACTACCAAATTAGAGTAAGACCCGTCCTACAGCCATCGATTAATTTCTTGGAGCTATTCCATCCCATCGCCAATCAACAAGCATAATGGTATGCCTCTCAACTGATTCCGTGCATGTGTAGATGGATCAAATTCCCTTCCATTTCAGGAGTACCAATTCCCAGTCTGCGAGAGGGTTTTACCAAGATGTTCTTCAATCCAGAAAGTGGAATTACTAAAATAACTTTGAATTGTCATGATAAATATTATTGCGTAATTATTTTTCAATAGAAATCGTTTGATATATGTATGTCAATCCCAATTACTCATTTTTAAAAATAATAATTTTACTAGAACTGAGCACCATTTACTCAGTTTCGCTTATTTTTCCAAATACAGGCGACTCACTTTAGAGTAGTTTCACTTTTAACGAAAATGGGTGGATTTTTACTCACTTTTGAGTTAAATTGAACGAGCGTGTAGAGAACAACTGATGCAAGCTTGATCAAAGTAGTCGATCGCGTTCAAAATTAACGTCAAATGGAACTCGAAAGAAGAAAAGATATTGTGCTCAAACACCTGGAAAATCCGGAGTGGTCCGGTTCCAAGGTGGCTAAAGTGCTGAAGATGCCGAAAACAACAGTTTGTTGAGTGCTCAAAACCTACAAGGAAAACCCTAAGTATGGAAAGGAATAAGCAGACCTACGAAAAAAAAACTGGAACCAGGGATCATCAGCTGCGCAGCAAGGTGTTGAGGTGCGTTAAAACCAACCCCTTTCTTTCGATCCGAGATGTGGCCAGAAGGTACAACACCAACTTTCAAACAGTGCGGAACATCGTTGCCAGGGAAGGATACAAGTCGTACAAAGCCAGTAAACATCCGAACCGGCACATGAAGCAGAATTCCGTGGCCGAAAAGCGTGCAAGGCTCCTGTACGACCGTGTTTTGACAAAATGCAAAGGCTGCACTTTGATCGATGACGAAACATACGTCAAACTCGATTTTAAGCAGTTTACAGGTCAAAAGTTTTACATCGTGACTGGACATGGGGATGTGCCGGGAAGATTCAAGTTCGTGTTTGCCGACAAGTTCGCGAAGAAAACCCTGATTTGGTAAGCGATTTGCAATTGTGACCTGAAAACGGAACCATTCGTCACATCCTCGACGATGACATCCCAAGTTTACATCGAAGAATGCCTGAAAAAGCGTTTACTGCCGTTCATCCGCAAGCATAGGGGAAAAGTCATCTTTTGGCCCGTCGACCAATCGAAAAATACTGGGCAATTTCAAAGCCGCGACCTCGACGAAGCGGCGGGGCAGTCAAGGACATCCAGCAAATGCGCTGATTCCGTGTCCGTTTCCACTGTGCGGGCGCTGATGTGCTCCATCAAGAGAAAGGTTCAAGATTTCGTTCGAACTGGAGAAATGAAACGATCTTCTGCGGTAACTTGGGTAATGGACTTTTTAAGCTTATTGAATCACAAATTACAGGTCTTTTTGTGCGAAACCAATTTAGCCAAATAAATTAAGTTCAAACCCCCTATAAATCTAGATTTAAGCAGATAAACTTTCATTACCCCTAGTTACCTGCAACGTCCAGTTATCCGTGAGTAGCAGCATTTGAGTATCGGAGAAAGTGTGAGAATCCATTTGCAACATCTCGTAGGGCATGATCTCAATCTGTTGCTGTGAGATTACGACTTGCTCGTCAATTTTCACTTGCTCTTCAAGTCAAACTACAAAACGATCTCAGAACCGCTCTTGAACAGTCTAAATTACCGATAAGGAAAATAAGGGCTTATGAAAGTACGTATGTAAGAATAATCATTACTACTGTAACAGCTCGCAAACAAATAGGTGCTAATGTGACGTGAAGAACAGTTGTAAAATGAGATCATCGATCATTTCTTTTATTCCAGGTCGGTGCCGATGGATTCAATTCGCTGGTCCGGCGATCGATGGGTGTGGATAATTTCACCTTGGCATACAATCAGATGGGAGTGGTTGCAACCCTCAAGCTGGCAGGTGCAGTGGCAAATAACGTGACCGCCTGGCAACGATTCCTTCCGACGGGACCCATCGCGTTGCTTCCTCTGAATGACGATATGAGCTCGCTAGTTTGGTCAACCACCGTTGCGGAAGCCAAACGGTTGGTGCAATTGGACGAGCCATCCTTCGTTGCGGCACTCAATGAGGCGTTTGTGAGTATTACTTGTGGGGTTTGAGTTTAGATAAGCGTAGGCATCACAATCTTAAAATATCTTCCAGACTAAGTCCTATCCAAGGAACAACGTCATCGAGGAAATTATGAAGAACGTGAATTCGCTGATTTCTTCCCAGACGGGTCAACGCTTGGAGCCGGCTCCGGTGGTGGAAGCAGTTATGGAAAAGTCCAGAGCCGCCTTTCCTCTGGGCTTGGGTCACACCAGTACCTACGTGGGACATGGCGTCTGTTTGATTGGGTAAGTCCAGTTTTTACGTTGTTTTTAAGCGATACAAATTCAAACTCGATTTACTCTCCCAGCGATGCCGCACACCGGGTTCACCCCCTGGCCGGACAAGGTGTCAATCTTGGGTTCGGAGACGTTCAGTGCCTAACGGATGTCCTAGCCGAAGCAAACTACAGCGGCTTGGGGTTGAACAACATCGCAGAGCTAGTCAAATACGAACAGGAACGCCTCCGGCATAATGTCCCCATAATCCTAACCACCCATGGCCTGCAGCGACTGTACACCACTGATTTCGCACCGATCGTAGGCCTCCGAAGCATCGGATTGACCATCACCAATTCGGTTCCCCCGCTGAAGGTAAGTTAATATGCATTTTTCCGCGAATGGATTCCATATTTCATCTCGCGTGTCTCCACTCGTGTCTGCCTCTGTTGAGTTGCATATGGGAGATAAATCATCACGCTTTTACATGTTTTCTTTTTTTTTCTGTTTCTCACTCGTAGAAATTCCTGATGAATTATGCCATGTCTTAATCTCTTCTCGCGCGAGTTCACCACCACCAGCAGTAAGTAACGACATCCAGCGTGTCATCGGGATTCAGTCTTCTATCTCTCAGCCAGAAGCACAAATAAGAGGTAGGTTGACTGTTTTTTCCTAATTGACAACGAATTCGGAAATATTTTTCGAATGCATCGCTGAGAGACTGGCGTCAGGTGGAAGTGCCAGAAATAATTCGGGACGGTAATTGGTAGGGAATAAGTCGAAACCGAAGTGTATTACGCCTAAGTCCTATGTCTCGATTTTTTTTTAGTTGTACCAAAGTGGGGGTTAAGGGATTTATTGTAACTTTAAGTCGTTTTGTGAATCAAACAACATTATCACTTGTTTATTTATTAGATTTATGTCATTTTCATTGTAGAAAGTATGAGAAATCTCCGAAGAGGTCAGTTCATTCGATTCAGCGACTGTATTTTCCAATGCTCGATTCATTGACATGATGATTGGCAGAAACGGCTTGAGAAATTTTGATGACTTCAACTGGTTGAGAGGATCTTTCGGAAATCGCTTGAAAGATGCTTGATTTTGAAAGGAATCTTCGAAAGGCTCTTAGGGTAAGATTGGAGATAAATATTTTAGGGAAACTTTGAAGCAATTCCAACGAACTTGTTGGTAAAATATGTGTGGTAAAGGGAGGTAACTTATTGAACATATATTTCAAAATAATCTGTTGTTGGCTTAATGCGTGAAGCCTACTTCAGCTATCCATTTAATTTTAGTCTAAAAAATTACTATTCTCTAGTGTGAATGTAATTTTTAGACTAGCTCCAAATGTAAAAAAATGTTATAAGATTTCTGAATCAGAACACATGATCCATCATTAGCTTATTATAATTTATCGTTAATATTCCTTCAGCAGCTATAGGGTGTTCCAGAAAGTATAAGCACAGTTTATTATTGGAATGCCCTCTATAGTATTCTCTTTCAATTGGATGAAAATAATCCGCAGTTCGCTTAATCGTACGCCAAGTAGCAAACTTTTGATCTGTCGCTGCCCATGAGCTGCTCAGGTGATAATTTTGGCCAGTCTTTTTCACATTCTTCGATTGAATTCGCTGCCTTAAAGTGTTTACGTAGATATCTCTTGGATAGGCCTAACAAGTTTCGATTGACCGGGCCGGACAATTCGGAGGATTCATCTTTCGTCTTTCGAGTAGTGCATTGACACCAAATCAGACGAAAATAGTACTGGGCCATCATGTTGACGGATCATGGGCCGCAGACGCCGATTCAAACACTCCCGAACGTAAATTTCAGTGTTCATCGTCTCCATCGTCACAAATGGCTTTGACTTATCGGCATCGTCAACTTCCTGACCATAACTCTGTAGTATTCAGTGCCAACATTTCGAAGGGGCGTAATTGCTTTTGTAAACATTGACTTTACCGTGGAGGCACCATATTCGAAGCGGGTCCTAAATCAACGCACTCAATAATGTTCGACTATTTTCAATCATTATGTTTGAAATGTTACTTCTGCAAATATTAGTTCCTGTGCTCTAGGGATGATGGTTAAACAAAGTTTTAAAAATATCTTGTCAAAATCGAGATGCGATAAAAAAATAGACGAGTGCGTCATCATTAGGGACGCGTTAAATAGGTGCTGGCACGGTAGCCGTCGATTTATTGCCAAGAAAAGTGCACCCCTCCAAATTAACAATGCTAGCGGGTAAAGGAAACATAAAGCCATTGTTTACCAATGTAATTGTGCCCCTTTGAAATGTTGGGACTGTAATGGTCTCCCGGAAGCGTCTTGTAGTCAAATTCGACGTATGTTTCATCGTTCATGATAATACACGCCAATTTTCCACGCAGCAGGCTATCATATCTAGACCAACAATTGAAATAGGCGGAACAACCAAACGTAAACAATGGCTTTAAGGGGGTAGTCCACTCTGGCGGTCACACCAATGGAGCTGGAACAACGAATTTTTTTGTGGTTATTCTCTGATAGCTGACCCAGTCTTGTACCTAGCCGTTCTTGATTTGGTTGAAAAATAAAAATTTGGTGACGTTTTGAAAAAAAAAACAGTCCGTTTTTGTCCCCTAAAATTGGAGATAAAAGCTTGCACCAAAAATCAATTGGTGCTACGTACAAGACTAGAAAAAAGGTAATTAAGTCGAAAATTTAATCGCCGTTTAAATCGAATGAGCCGTTTCTAAAATACAGCGCCCGCCAATTTTGAAAACATCGTTTAGAGATAATCGCGGCAGCAGTTGGAACTACTAAGACACGCCGTTTCGCCGGTAACGGGCGGGTACTCCGAGCGCTCACCTGAGCGTGCTTGGAGCGTCTGGACACGAGTCCACTAATCGGCCTATAACTTTGGAACGATGTCACTTGCGGACTTGCGGTCAAGTCTATGTCAAAGTAGACATTCCAAAGTATTTTTAAGCAAAAAAAAAAGATTTTTTGAAATTTCCAGAGTGGACTACCCCCTAAAACACAAAATTCTCAAGAATCAAAACACTCCAACGCAAACTAACAATGCCATTCGATAAAGGAAGTTTGCTCTATCAGATGACGGTGTTAGATTGCTTGGATGTGCTTTGATTCTCGAGGAATTTGCGTTTAAAGCCATTGTTTACGTTTGGTTGTTCCACATATTTCAATTGTTGGTCTAGATATAGCCTCCGAGCTTTAAGGTTGACAGATGCGGCTTGTTTCTGACACCATTTTCGCCAACTTCCTTACTGTTAGGTTGGGAATAGTGCACCATTTGTGCACCATATGTTTGACTTGGGCAATAAGTAAAAACAACAACACAACTGATAAACTTCATCGGGGTAGAAATTGCGGCGAGTTGAAAGTGTGTTTATACTTTCTGGGACAGCCTATATAGAAATAGGCATTGGTTTCTTGTATGACACGATGTTTTTCTAGTTTTCAATAAACATTAAGGTGATACTCTAAGGAAGCCTTAGCGTGAAACTCCAAACGCACAAATGTCAGCTTCCACAAAACATACAAATTTGAAATTGCTACTCTCTGTTTGTAGTAGCACAGCAAACAAGGAGTAGCAATTTCAAATTTGTATGTTTTGCGGAAGCTGACATTTGTGCCTTTAAAGTTTCACGCTACACATTTAATCTAGCTCGGTAAAATCTTCAACAGCCGATTACTTCGGCATTTACTTTTGCTGATATATATGCAAAATATCTGTTTGTTGGCTGGTATCTCAGCAAAATGATATTTGTTAGCTGAGTCTCGGCAATTGTTTTACTGAATCTCAGCAAAATAAATTGCAGAACTACTCGGCTGTTGTAAAGCGTCCTTAGAGTATAACCTGAAAGTTCTTTCAATAAAGTTCATTCGTGGCAATATGAGCACCACTGATATTTCAAACATTTTCTGCATAAAATCTTCAATTTTCCATTATTCATTTTATAAATATGACTGTATCATATGAAATCACGTTTTGAAGCAGCTGGTTTGGTAAAAAAATAATTCATCCACAAGACTGAATGTTGGACTGTTAGTTGGACTGCAGCCCACCTAAATCGAAGTCAAACGTCATTTTTGACAGTACTATTCCTTTTTCGAGGGGCTCATGTATGAACAATTTTGATAGTTGCTAAAGGATTGTGATGATAATATACAATCGGTGTATCCCTCAACCAATTTTCAGCTTGACAGCTCAGCCCAACTAAAGAAAGTCTTTCACTAAGCGAGCTGCAGGTTTAGCCCAACGAGCGAAAGTTGACTGTATTTGTAAAATAGCACAAACAAAGATCATTAGACAAACAACCTACAACACAGCTATGTTTAAATTTGGTGGAACAGGTTTGCTTCCTTTAAGAATACTAAAAGAGTTGCGGAAGCTGGGGTCTCGTCCCCGAGCAGATCCCTCATGCTGGACGTCAGGTCATAGGACTCCCTGAGATTCTGAAACTCCGGGCAGTTACAGAGAGTGTGCTTTATCGTTGCAGGTACGTTACAGATGGAACATTTTTTTTCGGAAAGGGACCCCTCCAAAGCTATAGTAAACCTTTGAGTGTCCAGTCCGGAGTCTTGACAGTACACGCTGCTTTCGTAGGTTATTGAGGTCGGTCAATGCTACTTTAATTTTGCGAATGAAGAGTGTTCTGGCGCATGACTAGTCGACCTCGCATGCCGCTCGGATTGTCAGCGCTGGACTTCGTGTAGTGCCAATGGCATTTGGCCACTGGGGGAGGTAGACGTCGGCGGCCGTGCGGAGAATTCTGTCAGAGAAGGCAGCGGCTTTGATGGCAATGGCTGTGTTAAGACGATGCCGGAAAGAAAGGATCCCAGCTTCCACGCACGCAGCATCTGCTGGGGTGGAGGATAGGAGACCCCAGAGACTGTACGAATGTAGGTGTTGTAGACTAGGGCTAGAATTTCTACGAGTTTTTCGGTGCCGTAAAAGAGCCTACTGTCATTGATGGCACGGGCTACTCTGAAGCGGGCACCGCGGTTGTTGGAGCGATGGGGTAGAGAGATGGTTTTGGTACAAAGGAGAAGGTGCGATCTATCGAGACTCCTAGCACACGGACGATTTTTTTGGTTGGTATGGTTTGACCACGGATCATGATTGGAGCACCGCCGACTCGGTGGCGAGATGAGCATACGTGGCATCAGACACATCTTCTGGCTGATAGCTGGAAACCAATCGAATTAGCCCATTCCACAACGGTGGATGTCGCCGCCCGTGCCTGCAGCTTGGTCCGAACTACGGTTGGTCCCGTGGCTATTATCAGTACATCACCGGCGTAGACGAAAATGTGTACAATACCGGGCAATCTGTCGAAAGCAACGTTCATTGCGATCATGAATAGGGTGACCGCAATAACTGATCCTTGTGGAACACCAGACTTCTCGCAAAAACTTCTGGATTGGGTGTTTCCCACAGAAACCCAGAACGATCGGTAGGTTAAGATGTTTCGGACGGTGCCTGAAGGTGTGTTGCCGGTGATCCAGCAGGCCGTTTGAATCTAAGATAAACTTGAGTTTGTGGTTGTCCATTCGTGCAAATACTTTGGCCATGCACGTGGTAAGTGTTATGGGCCGGAACTTGGTCGCATCTTTGGCTTTTGGGATAGGCTTCCACAGCGCCGAGTATGTGTCCGTGACCTAGAGTTGATTAAACAAGTTAAGCATACGGTGCTTACCTTCTATTGGTAGGTTCTTGAGAGGGTAGCCGATTTCATCGGTACCTGCCGTTTTGCCGCTGCTCCTGCTTAAAGAGTGTAGCAGTTCGTCCCAGGAAAACGAATCACTAATCCTGAGGCTATCCGTGTCAGGCCGAATGTTGAAGCTGGTGATGGATGACAATGTCGGCTTGGCTAAGCGTTGGCGATGGATAACTTGTCATGAG